CCTCAGTTCAAAGGTATCCTCCGAAGGAACGCAAATCTAAAATAGTAATATGTCTACATTAAAGAAATCCTTTAAAATTCCCATTTCTCAAGTGTGACCTCTACTTAAAAAAGAAAAGAAATGGTGGAAATGTAAAACTATATAACCAATGTTCACTGCAGAACTGTCAGGGAATGTATTTCAGGTCAAATGGCAAGTGAAATACCTTGGCAATGTTATCAATAGCTTTGAAATTTGCAGTCCAATAGATGTGCTCAACACTGAGTGCCTGGTGGGGTCCATTTCACTATTATAATAGGTAGCTTTCAAAGTCTCCCATTTCTCACTCAGGACCAAGCAATGTGTTCCAGTAAGTGATCCTCACCATCTAAGAGCCTGGCAGCACCTCTTAGACAAAACATACTGCAGGCTTTAATTAAGCATTTTACAAAAGCTATTTTCCAATACTGCCAATAAAATGTCTGGGCTATTTTTACATAGTCTTAAAGCCTTAAAAAGGTGCTAAACAAAATGAATTTAATTTTAAACAAGGACTTTTATGTACCAACGCTTCTAAAATCTGCTTGCCTGAATGCCAAAAGCAAGTTTGCTTTTTAAACAAATGAAAAGCCTCTATGCCTACAAGTGCTTTTTTTCGTCTACCTGCCGTATTTTATACTGTGTTGCTCACTGCAATGGTTTATATTAGGATATCAGATTTTGTACAGGAGGAAAAAATTAAATGAAAAGACTTTTGCTATAACTGGCATATAACCCTGGCTTTTTAGGAAATCCAAGGAAATGTAACTTCAGTTAAGGAAACGATCATTATTGGAAGCTTACTGCATGCACTCTCAATTCACTTTTTTTCTTCCAAAGTTTCAGTGGAATCTAAATAGATGCACAGACTATTTGCATTTGGGAGGTAAATATTAGCTAACCCCTCCCCAGATCAGATTATGACATTCAATTCCAGCACAGGTCAAATTATTTTATTTGAAGAACCATGGTTCTTAGCAATGAAAATTATTAAATTCAAAGTAATGAAAATCAGCCAAGCCCTGCCAGATGGTCCCCAGTTATAACACTTTCAATAAGCCACTTACAATGAATTTGCCACTAATAAATTCAGGCAAGCTGGTAATTTGTCCCAGCCCTTGACTATATCATAATCTTTCATCAATAGGAAAATACAGGTTAAACACCTGATTAAAGGGAGGTGTGATGTGCTGAGCTCGAAACCAGATGTATGGGATTAGATTTTCAGCTCTGACACTTACCTTTTTGACCACAGGAAAAATCTTAACACCAGCTTCATTTCCAAAACTTACCATCCATCAGTAACGTAATGAATGTGAATGTGCTTTGCAAACTATAAGGCAATCTGCAACTGAAAAGCATTCCCTCAAATCAACAAGTTAACAACTTAACAGCCCTTTTTAAAAATCATACACACAATTCCTTACTTCTGCCTACACTGCTCAGTTGCACCTGTTGCAGTGTGAAATTTGTTTGGGTCCCTTTGAAAAGCCTGAGTTTGTTCCCAAAACAGTTCCCTGCCAAAGACTTGAAGTATTTTGGTTAATGTTTGGCGATTAGGGAGAGGAAAAGAAAGCAAGGGTTCTTGCTTGAATTTTTATGAATGTGTGGTAGTCTGCTGTGCTCAATTAATGCCTTAGTACTTGTTTAAAGTTGATGCTTTGCTAGTGGCCAAAATTTTTACTCTTAAAATAGAATGAATGCAAATGAATAATGATTGCCAACAACTTTAGCTAACTTTAATTGAATGAGGTCTTCTTTAGTTGTTATAGGTCAAATACCTCATTATTCCAAACGACTGTCCAATTTTGTGGGGGATGAATGCTGCCTAAGTGACCCATCAGTGGTAACTGGAAAATTTCTGCTATATGGAGATTTTATTCTAGTAACTTATAATAAATAATTTCGAGGCAATAAACATAATTTGCTCTCAGCACATATAATTGATAGCAGCAGGATGTGGCAGTAGCACACTCCATGTCAAATGCAGGTTAGGACTGCAATTAAACCACATGGGAAACTACATTCTCCCCCTGAATGTTAGTGCCCATTAATCCAAGTGCTTAACATGCAGGGATTCCTTTCCAATAATTACTTAAAATTATTTCATTTATAAAAAAAGTCACAGCCAGGTTACATTTCTTGGTGTTTCTAATCGATTTGAACAAATGCCATTATGTATTGACTTATATTGCAGCATGACTATAGGTAAATGAGATTACATAGTCATTTTGTGTTACTTGAAAAAAAAAGGTCCCACTGATTTATAATCTCACTTCATTAAATAATAAACAAATTCCACCCAGAAAAATCTCAATGCTGAACAACCATGTAAAGTCCTTTAAATGAAAAGTAAAGATTTACTAAAACATGTGACTTGAGTAGAGAATTTAATTCAGTTTCCAAATCGTAATAGTAACTATAACCACAACACTGATAACAGCTTGATAATGATTCATATGTGGCACTTGTTATGTGCCACACGCTGTTCTAAGTACTTTCCAGAAGTTAAAATTACTTTTAGAGATAAGTGAGTCCTAAAGACTGTGCCTTTGTTCCTCTGTCAAAGTTGTTCTTTTTCTGTTACATAGCAAAATGAAGATAGATCTGAAATGGGTTAAAATTAGCCTATATGTTTATAGTCCAAAAAAGCACCCCCCAGATTCATCCAGCCTGTTCTTTACATTTCCCAAACAACATTCTACCTTATTAATTTACATTAATATGCCCAGCAAAGTCATTTCCTGTAATGAGTTGTTTTGCCACCACCCCTTCCTCTGACGTCCCTTCTACATAATCTCTGAAAATTACATGCAGAGATCACCATAGGGACTAATCATTTTGCCAAGAAAAGAAATAATCAAGTTTAACTGTTGAATTTTCATTTTGGTATTAATCCAATAACACAATGAAAATATCTTAGATTTAATGTTCCAAAGTGTTTCCACATTCATTCTCTTATTTCAACCTTAGCTCCTGCCTCTCAGTAAGATATAACCTCTTTGCTTAGTCAATCAACAAAGGTAGGGAGTTCCTCCACAAGCAACACACTTAGAGAAAGTTAAATCCAAAATAGCTGTAACATCACAAATCAGTAATTTATGCTAAAATGATGGCCAATGGTTCTAGATACTCCTTAGGAAGTCAGGGTTTATTTGAGGAACAACAAGATGTCACTGTTTTTAATTTGGGTTTAAACAAAGACTAAAGTATTGAAAAGTACAGACAAACCTCTAGGAAAGTGTATTCTTTCCGAAGCACCGCAGTGGCATAGGCAGCTACTTCGCTATATCACCTACATCAAAATTTTAAACCATATCTTCAACAATTAGGTTCAAACCATAGCTTGAGGCCAATTTTCAGGTGTACTTTACAGAACAAAGTAGATCTGTTCTTGAAAAGCTGATTAGGAATTAAATTCTTGGAAATAGAATTATATATTTTAAATGCATACTTATGGTAATAGTGCTGTGTGTGTGTGTGTGTGTGTTGGGGAGGGGCTCACAATTTACAAAGAGATCTGAATTGAATCATTTGGCAAGCCAAAGCATCCTTTTGTTGTTTTAATGATCACTCTTTAATGTGTCCGTGCTGCAAATGTGAGTTTTTGTATGGCCAGTTTTCTACAGCAGGGGGAGAAAGGGAAAGGGAGGGGGCTACACCTGCACTAAATAGGGAGCTTGTTAGGTGACTGTTGTGATCAGTCCCCGACTTGTTCTGCCTGATCAGGCACAGTGGGCACAGATCCAATCACAAAAGCATTCCACAGAGCAAGCAAAGCAAAAATCTTCACTAAACTGACTACTGGAATGAAAACTGCTGGGGTCCATCCCTTCCCTTCACTGGGAAAGAAGCATATTCTACTAAAGAGAAAAGGCAGTCCTATGGAGACACCATCTTCTGCAATCATTTCTTGAGAATGTCTCAAGACACACTGATGACAACATCGTGCAATGTGGATTTCTGCTAAGTCTTGGTTCCAAATCCCAGAGTTCCCACTCTTCCTTCTTCCTTTGGAAAATCAGCCCTTTAGACAGTTCCCACTGCTCCACAGTAGACTGCCCCTAGGCTCAGGTCTTCCTCCAGCTTTCTTATCTTGCTTTCCTTGCTTTCTAAGAAGACACACCAATTCAATATTTCCAATGCTTTTTAAACCTTTGAAACAATATTCATATCCATGATCAAGTGGTCACCACATACTCTTTAAGGAGGGCGGGGGTGGATTAAAAGAAGAAAATAAGGCACAGCAAACATGACTTGCTCATCACTACCAGTGACAGAGCAAAGGAACACTCCAGATTTCTGGCAAGTGATCGCGTGTGAAAATAAAACAATAATCAACACAAAAGCCCATTCCAGAACCGAAAGCTGTCTTCTTTTAGTCACCTGCTGTTTTGGATTGCGTATATTTTGTTCCCCTCCCTACCACCCAGACATTCATTCTAACCACTGAGATTTCATTGACGAGGTAAATCACAGCAAACTACCATAACAATGACTCCTGTTAACAAAGTGACTTTCAGAGCAGAAAGTCACCCCCCCCCACAACGTTAACAGCTGTCATTGAATAATATTGCATGCTCTTATTAAATTCCTGCGCTTAACTTTGGGCAGTTGTAGGGAAGCAGGTTTCTACTGTCAATTTGCAAATAATTTATGATGCCCTGCTTTGCATTATTACTGTATGCTGGGGGAAGGATGTGTGAAAGCTTATTCATGATACATGCCCTTGAGATTTAACCGTTCCTAAAACAGTAGCACCCACGTTTCAACAGTAATTGGTTCTGCAGATAAAAGCGTCAGTTGATGCCAAGATCAAAGGGGGTATTGTGCGAATAATTAAAACTGAAGTTCTCCTCCATGTCAAATCGCACCAATTCAGGAAATATTAGCCCCCGCTTATCCCTAACGTTGTACCACATGGACTCATTCATTAAGTAATGACTATTAACTTAAGGGAAATTGATTCTAAAATTACCAACCTCTTTTGGGAGAGTTAAACTTCTTGTAGTCAGGTTTGACAAGGCCCATTCTCAGGTAAAAGTTGTCACTGTCAGAATCTTCTCTCTCCGGGGGTCTCCGGACCCAGCGACGGCGAAGTGGCCGTGGGGGAGTGGCGGCCCGGCCCGCCCCATTCTCGCCTCTGACAAGGTCTGCGGGTGGGTTTGGGGCTCCAGGGCTCGAGCCACCGGCAATGTCTTGCACCCCGCTTAGCGCCTCGGCGTCCGCAGCAGCGGCGGCGGCAGCGGCGGCGGCGGCAGCAGCGGCAGCGGCAGCAGCAACAACAGGTTGGAACCAGCGGGCGGAGGCGGAGTCAAACCCAGCTGCGGCCTCGAAGCTCGCGGCGGCTGCGCCGATGCCCGGGGCAGCGGCGAGCGCCGAGGCTGCAGCTAACGCCCGGCCCACGGCTAAGGTTGGCGCTGCTGCCCAAGCAGCAGCCGGGGCTGAGGAGGCAGAAAGGTCTCTGTCGAGGCTGTCAGTTGGAAAAGCTGACACTGCGGTTCTGGCGGCTGCAAAGAAAGTTTGCGAACGGCTTGGTGGGTGTCTTCTTCCGTGCTCTTCTTCCTGCAGCAGCCTAGCTACAGGTGGGGGGTCAGAGCATCGGCTAGGGGAGCGTGAAATGTCCATACAGCACTCCGAAAATGGGTCGACCACATAGATTCGACCTGTTTCAGCATCATAGCGAATGGCACTGTCAGCAAAAGGCACGGCTGGTGTCATCGCTGGATTGAAAATCACTTTGATGCAGTCCCCCTCGTCCCCATTAGCGTTGCTACCCGTGGCCCTGAGAGGAAGAAGAGGAAGTGGCCACCTAGCACCGTCCAGAGAGAAGGGGTTGGCACCTGGCATAGCCCTTAAGAAGAGATCTGAGAGGGTGTTTGCTGGGTTTGGAAATGGCACTCCGAACTCAACATTCAGGTAACTAGAAAAGAGTGAGTGTCTGGGATTAGCAATCGCACCCCACGAACCTGGCAGTCCTTCAGTGGAAGGGGCTGGCATATTGCGAACTCTTTCACTGAAGTCAGCGTTGACGTAGTCAGCTTGTCTCTGCTCACTCCTGGGCTTTTGCAGTTTGGGCTTCATTGTATTCCCTTTTATCATAAGAGAGAGTCGGTTAGGTCTCTTAGCCTTATTCTTTGGGGGCCCATCATCTGAAGGCTTTAAGGGTGCCCCCCCATTTCTAGGCTTTGAGTGTGACCCCTCAACTGAAGGTTTTGGACCTGTGTCTTGGGGGCCCCAGTTAGAAGACACTTCTTTGTCCGAGCCCCTTCCCAGGAACTTTCCAGGTAACATTGGCACATACTCACTGTGGTCACTCTGTCCCAAGGATGAACTCCGAAAAGGATTTGGCAGAGAGAAGTAGGAGCTCCAACTTTTCGAGGAAGCGCCACCCTGAGGATTTTTGGGGTTTTTTGGAATTGCACCAGCCCCAGGAGCCATAAACATGTAGTCACTGTCCCCATCATCCTTTGAGTCACCTTCTTTATTGGGATCAGCTGCCTTGGGAGGACTTGGGGCAGGTGGCGGGCTCTCTCGGGGAAACATCATCATGTACCCTCTGGCATCTTCAAAAGGTGGGCGAGAGTGGCGCTTTAGTGAAGCAGAGACGTTCTGAGGAGCCATTGGCATATAATCATTGGAGCTTGCCAGAGAAGCAGCCACCCCGGGCCTCATTGGCATGTACGCGTAATCCTCATCTTCATCAAAAGCTCTTGCTCTGTGGAGACCCCGAGCAGCACCTTCTGGGGTCTCCAGGTCTTTCAGTTCTTTGGCTTCTTTGCGTTCTTTTGTGGCTCCTCTGTCAGCACAAAAATAAAGTCGGAATCTTCCTCCAGACTTCCCCTTGCCAACAGCTGCCCCAGCTGCTGGGGGTGGAGGCGGCGGCGGCGCGGGAGGTGGTGGCATTTGCTTGCTTTGAGTTAATTTGCCAAAGTAGGATCTTTTCTTCAGAGATTTTCCACGGTCACCATCACCGTTGGAACCTTTCCCACGTCCTGAGCCCTTGTCCCCTTCAGAGTTCTTGCCTCTGCCCCAGCCATGGCCATCACCAGGTCCCTGACCACCGCCGGAGCCTTGCCCACCTCCGGGTCCCGGGCCACCGCCGGAGCCATGCCCACCGGTAGTGCCTCGTCCGTCTCTGGAGCACTGGTTTCCTCCTGAGCCCTGGCCACCTCCAGACCCCTGCCGGCGACTTGAGCCCTGGCCGCCTCCGGATCCCTGCTCCCCGCCAGAGCACTGGTTTCCTCCGGAGGTCCGACTACTGGAGCCTTGGCCACTTGAGCCATGCCCACCTCCCGAGCCTCGGCCATTTCCTGAGCCCCTGCTGTTCATGGGCATGTAGTCGTCTCCACTTCCCTCCTGACCCTCTTTGCTCTGGGGATTGCCTTCCTCCGCAGAGTTGCCAGAGCCGGAGCCGGAGCCAGCTGCTTCAGCAGACAGGCAAGCTCTGTCGCTAGCGGCTGCTTCACGGTGCGGGGCACGTACCTGGCTGGCTGGTAATCGGCGAAAAAACCTCGCTGGCATGGAAATCGCTCTCCTGGACCTGCGCGCTCTGGGCAGGTACAGTCTCCCTCGCCTGCAGGGGGGCACGGGCTCGCTGGGTGTCACGAAGCGCCTGGTGACGAGCATCTCGTCTTCCCCGTCACCGATGGCCCGGAGGTGGCAAAACTGTTCAGTGCGGGACCTCCTGAGCCAGCCGCCGGGCTCGAGCGGCAGCAAGCCCAGGTGCCTCCTAGCGGACAGCAGGGTTAACAGGTGGGCACCGATGCTGATGCTGTAGCTGCGGCAGCGGGCTCTGTAGTCGTCTGCACTCAGGGCTCTCATCTTCTCCAAAAACAGCTCGTGCATGTTTTGGGCCACGACACAGTCATCCACCTGCATCCAGAGCTCTCCCGGACCGATGACCGTGGACCTGCCGACTTCCAAGAAGAAATACTGCTCCGAGTGCCCGCAGCGACGGATGCTCAGGAGCTGGACGACCACGCTAGCCACTTCGGTGTTGAGCCTCACGAACACGACCTCCTCGTCGGTAAGGCACAGCCGGAACACGCCGCTCAGCTCTTTTCTGTGCCCCAGCCCCCTGGGCTTGACTACTACCTGCCACACATCTCTGTAGAAGGGTGGCTCCGCCGCCGCCGCTGCCGCCCGCGCGGCCGGCTCTCGGTCCGCCAGTGCGCCGAGCGTGCCGCAGCGGCGGCGCTTGCTATCGAGGATGAGGCGGCTGAGCAGCAAGTACCAGCTTTCCTGTTCCGACTCGTTCTCGGCCACCATGGCGAAGTACTCGTCCTGGGTGAATAGGGCAATGAGGTGTCGGTACCTTGCATCGGCTCGCTGGCTCACCGAGAAGCACTGGTACAGGGTGATCACGCGCCGCGGGGGGATGAGCGCGGGGACCGCGGCGCCCGAGGCGGCCGCTGCCGCCGCAGCCGCCGCGGCGCGGACACTGTGCCGGAACTTCCTGGCATTTTCGTAGTATTCCAGCCGAGCTGGGGCGTCGGCGGTCTCGAGTTTAAGCACGAAGTAACGCTTGTGCCCATGCTTCTGCTTTCGCAGGTAGCCGCGTTTGCAGACTTCGTCCCCGACGGGGAGGTCCTCCTCCTCGGACTCGGAGT